CTAATTTCCCTCTGAAAGTTCTCCACTGCCTTAACCTGGTATTGTTCTAGCGTGGTGGACTGGCGAAGGAGTACGTATCTAAAAAATGGCTATTGGCACATATACTAAGACTGAGACAGATTTCACACACTTTGGGTCCTGTCATTGGATCTAAGCAACGCCTTTATCTACTGCGCCATGTGTCCTCGAGGACATCTGTGTATGAATTTCTGGGTATTATAAACCTAATGTCTTCAGCAACCATTTTTTATCAGTGCTCATATTAAACATGGCACGTGGAAATAGAACAATCTACCCCAGTGAGCGAAATAAAGGTTTCAGTTCGACATTCCAACCACCTGAAGAAGGCCGGAGCGTACAACGGCCGAAACGTTGTAATAAATATGGCGACAAAGATAAGGACAATAGTCCGAATAATGTAAATAATGTACATAGTACCTCATCTCAGAAATATAGACAGATACTGAAGGTTGATATTCTTAAGGAAAATCACTAGAATTTTCTCTGAACCAGTGGCTTTCTTAGGGTCGAGGTCTTTGTTAAGTCTAGAAACCTCTCGAGCTGTGATGTTAATATTAATGAGATTGACTTGGGAATTTGGGGAGGGAATTTTTTTTTCATTTAACGTAGACTTAGAGGCAAAGATAAAGCGAAGAGTTTCTCTTTTTCTATCGGGGAGAATATGACCCCATGATCATTTATAATTGTGGGGACAGCCGCTTTAACTCTGTTCATGATTTGGTTGGGGAACTTCCAGAATTCACTGTATTCAATTTGTTTCTTTTCAACCTTGGTCTGGACTGCTTATTCATAGTTGCACTTGGCACTTTATCGATCTTTTTTTGCAACGATTGCGAGCAGTTCTGAATGTGGTAATGGCCAACCTACATAGATCCGTGCGATAGATACTGAGGTAGTGGTTTCGGGGGGTTATGGCCGCAGCGCACTCAGGGGTGAACTACGGGTGACTTTTTGATTTTTGTTGGAATATTTGGGATTGGGGTATAAAACTTTCCATACCAGAAACGATCCAATCAGTGACGAGGGCAGCAGTTTTGGATGCAGTATGCTTGAAGAAGCTTAGGAGAGGGGCTTCCATCATGTAGGATCGAAATCTGCCTCAGTCTTAGTATATGTGCCAATACCCATTTTTTGGTTACGTACTCTTTCGCCAGCCCTTTAAATGCACGTGCCAAAGGTATCACCAATGGGTTAGTTTAGAGTTTAGGGAGAAAAACTAGAAAAAAAAGCGGAAATAGAACTTACGCATGTGTGTTGGTGAAAGAAAGAAAGAAAGAAAGAAAGAAAGAAAGAAAGAAAGAGAGGGAGAAAGAACAAAAAATATATTGTTTCAATTTTGTTGTAGAGTAATTTTCACAGTGGAGGCTTGTATTTCACTAAGTCTGTCCTAAAAGAATCCGACGTACAAAACGTTAGGAACTTGAAATAAGAGTTAATGACGTAGCAATCTAGTTGTGATGGTTGATACTTCAATGTCCGACATCGACTGACTCGCTCAATTCCACTGAGTATTTATCGTTCCACCCACGAGGACCGAATATGGCACAAGGCCGGTTTTAATATGGGTATTCCCGAGCCCGTAGGCTCGGCCAAAAATATAGCCTTTGAACCCGCCTAGACGGGTTCAGGCCCTGTCTACCTCCCCGGACGAAACCCCGCCCTTCGGCAAAGCCTCGTCCGGGTTCCTCTCTGCTAACGCAGAGAGTTTGACAGAAGGCGCGCGCAGTCAGAGACCGCTCAACACCACTGAGTATTTATCATTTCACCCACGGGAAACGAATATGGCACAAGGCCGGTTTTATTGTGGGTTTCTCCGAGCCCGTAGTCTCGGCCAAAAATAGCCTTTTGAAGCCGATTAGACGGGTTCAGGCCCTGTCTACCTCCCCGGACGAAACCTTGCTCTTCGGCAAAGCCTCGTCCGGGTTCCTCTCTGCTAATGCAGAGAGTTCGACAGAAGGTGTGCTCAGTCAGAGACCGCTCAACACCGCTCTGCCAGACTTGCCCCTGCTACTACTAATTATTATCTGTGGGAGAGTCTATTACAATAGAATAGATAATGTTCTGGTATAACAAATGTATAATGTATTTCACAATATAAATATCCATTAATCCTTAAACAAATCTAAATGTAATAAAATCCCATAATTCCCTAGGATCGCCACTTCTGTTTCACAACCTTAATAACAATAGTGCTTCATGCGCAAGACAGCCCAACCCTTTCCAGTCTGGTTCGAATTCAGACTTGTCCTTCTCATATACTGGTTGCAACTAAGGCTATAATACTTAGCCTGCCTGGTATTTACCCATAGATGAGAGAATAAATAGATTCATACATTTCCCAAGGGTATTAACACGAAAGGGAATGTAATAAAATCGACTGGAATTCGAACTCGTATCTCCGGTTCCTGACCCAAGGTCGCCTGTCGAACTCTCTGCATTAGCAGAGAGGAACCCGGACGAAGCTTTGCCGAAGGGCAAGGTTTCGTCCGGGGAGGTAGACAGGGCCTGAACCCATCTAGGCGGGTTCAAAGGCTATATTTTTGGCCGAGCCTACGGGCTCGGAGATACCCACATTAAACCGGCCTTGTGCCATATTCAATCCTCGTGGGTGGATCGATAAATAGCGACACAAGGTCGCTATCTATTTCTCCACCGTGTCTCCAAACGATATTTGCATAATGATATACTATAAATATATATTCGTATTATAGAAATATAATATAATAAAAAGATATCTTATAATATAGTGTCGTATCTTATATTTTATAATATTTATAAATTGTTTATTAATAATATAAATTTATTTACATAATTATATAATATATTAGTTAATACAATAGAAATAATCTCGCGAAGCACAATCTATACAGCATTCGAAATGATTAAGGCGTTCACAATTAGCTGTGGTGCAGGTCTGTGGACTTGTGTTGGGTTATCATCTAGACTACGATAGATGAGGACAATAATGAAGAAGAGGGGGACAACTATTCACCTTAATCTCCAGTGCTACCCGTCACATGACAGCGTTTTAAGGTTTTCATGCAGTAAATTTCCACTTATGCATCTGAAACAATAATAACAACGCCCAATTCGTTCGGCAATCTTATGGCCAAAAATCAGTGTAATATTAGCCGTTTCCCTATAAGGAAACAGTTGGCATTCGTTGACCGAGTAGCCAGTACCGACTTCGTTTAAGATTTCTAAAATCTTTCTCTTAAAACATTTTTTTAGGAAAATAGGTTTCTCAAGTCTAATAACTGTTATTGCTCTTTTTCAATATTGGTGGGGGGGTCCTTACTAACCTTTTGTTTGAAGTCGTACGGAATATCAACATCTTGATGATCTCAGTATTTTCTGTTCGAGTTACATGTGCCATACGTTTTAGCTGTTGATAGTTCTCAAGTGATGGGGTTTCTGTTAATTGGTACAGTTATTTTGTTTGTGATTGTGTAGTGCCAATTCACAATGTTCATGAAGGATGGGTTCACTCACTCAAAGCCATTTTTAGCCATTGATCTTAAAATGGGGTTGTATACAGCAAACAGTTTAGATCTTTCTGAACGGGTTTAGCACCATGCATGATATCCATGTAGTAGTCTCAATCTGATGATAAAAAGAAACCACTTCACTCTCTTTCCAAGAAAGCAATTCACAGCTAATAAATTAAAAAAATGAATATGTGGACAGCCATGATTGTCCAAGTCATAAAGGGACATTGCATTTGAATGTTTACGTGCTTGAAAAACATTATACTGTTCTCTTATTTACCCGCGAGCAGCATTCCTTCGTTGTCAATCACTCTTTTATTAAACATAGCGTGACATGCTTTCTACATTAAAGGCAACAGGGGTTATATATATATATATATATATATATATATATATATATATATATATATATATATATATATATATATAGTCATCCAGAGACAGACAGATTGTTTCGCTGTATCACAGCTCTTAGACGCCCGATTTGAGCCGAGATCGGAACCTAACCTTTTTCCCATCAGTCAGGTATCTTACTCCTAGACCATCGTCACACGGCATAAAGGAAGGGGATCTTAACGTTTTTCTCTATACGAAATACGCCAGCGTCTCGGAGAACTCAATTTAATTTATTTCAAGAGTAATGCTTAATAGCAGTAGGAGCCACTGTTTTTAAAAAAAAAACAAAAAAAACCTCTTCTAGAGAGCTCAACTGGATTTCTGGGGTATATATATATATATATATATATATATATATATATATATATATATATATATATATATATAGTCATCCACACAGAGATTGTTTCGCTGTATCGCAGCTCCTCAATGTGGCTATCCGTTCGATTGCTTCAAGCCGGGATCGAAACCCGACTGATTTGACCATTGTCAAACTCCTGAAAAATGTATTTTCAGTTAAGCTCTCTGGGGAGGAAGTGTAGGTTTGTAAACAGTGACCATTACGGCTAATAATGCAAGACTCTTCCGTATATCGAATCGAGTTCTCTCAGTCACTGTGTGTTTATCTAAAAATAAATACGCTTAAATTCACCTTCATCCCTACCGTGCACCAACGGCTTAGTGGTAGAATCTCGACTGACACCAATTCAGTCGTATTTCCTAGAGTTAATCGGACGTCTAGCCACACTGATGAGCTGTCATACAGCGAAACTGTCTGTCTGTGGATGACAATATATATATATATATATATATATATATATATATATATATATAGATAGATAGATAGATAGATAGATAGATAGATAGATATATTTATTTATTTGAAAGGTATTATTAAAAACAAAAGCTTGACTAAAGTTTGGTTAGTCATAGACGTTATATGGAATAAGTACGTATTTATTTACTTTTGTTTGAAAAAACCACACCTTTATATCTAAAGTTTTGGAGAAATGGCTTACTTCCACAAATAATAAACAAAAGACGATGCCTTATCTAAAGTTTCCCGATTGTAAACGACGATAGCGACGGAGATATTCACAATAATAACAACAAAAGCGAGTAACAGCGGCGGAAAAGAGAGGAATTAAGATAACCACCTCTGTCGCGAAGCCGAACACGGAAGGCGACGACGAAGAGGTTGATTAGGATAACAAAAGGAAGACAGCAATAGGAACAAGCGTGATGGTGATAGCTGGGGACGTCTATAGAGAAGGAAAGTGAAGTGATAAAAGTTTTTTTTTTTTCTCTCGGTGTTGAGGGACAAGAGCGACAGGATAACGGAAGGCGTAGAAAAGTCGGGTGTACAGATGGTGATTCATCGGCAGACAACGAACTACCTGCCGTGGTGATGAGAGCCGAGACGAGGTCGTCTCAAATAGCACGATGCATTCTTTCGCATCTGCCAACCCAACGTGGGCCTTCTTCCTTCTTATTGTTTCTTTGTTCCCTTTTTGTCTCCTCCCTCCCTACATTTTTTTTTTTATCAGGGAAAGGGAAAATGGCCCAGGAAGAGTTGGGTGGAATGGAGATGGAAGCAGGCCTTTGGCGCTGTGGGAATCACGATGTTAGGAATTAATCAATGTTTGACCATTTTTGATGCCAATTTCTTGTCTTCAAGAACGTTCCCAGTTTCAGGATTTGTTGGCTTTAAAATGCACGGCCTGCTTACTTCTAAAATCATTAGCTGTGCTTTTTGTGATCTTTCTATTCCCTTATCCTTATCAGTTTATGGCTTCTATTTTTGTGCAAGAAGTTATATGCTAATAGATTTTCCCAAAGATTTAAGACGCTAATGACAACCACAGACAGGTATATTCACGTTCTCACATCGATTCCGTCACAACATGTCAGGATCCGCAATTAGTAAATACAAAGATCAAGTTGAAATTTCTAGGGAAAATAATGAGGAAAGAACGCTTAGAAAATTAGACACTCCCAGGACATATTAAAGGCAAGAGGGTCAGTGCGAAGCAGTGCATAACCTACCTAAGATTAAGAGATATAGCAAAAGACACTTTAACAAGGATTACAAAGGATAAGCCGTTATGGAGAGCCATGACCAACCACGTACTGAAGGTACACGGGAAACAGTTTTTTTATTATTATTATTATTAAATATGTGTGGCGGGCCTCGGAACCAATTATAATAAAAGAGGAAAACGTCCAGAATTAGGAAGATCCATGATCCCTCAAGTCCTGAAAGACGGCTCATAGAAGAAGAAAGAAAAGAAGAAAAAAAGAGGAGATAAAGAAAGTTAACCTCGAATAGGCTGCGCTAGGGTTAGTTTCCCTCGCCATTACATATTACTATAAAAAAAAACATCAACCTAAAAACAGAAACATTCGTATAGATGTCAATGCATGGGTTTAAACTGGTTCAGAAATATCTCAACTATCAAATGTATGCAACGATTTTCTTAGATCAAGAAAGTTTTCTAAGGAATGATCCATTTTTAAATATTTTATTTAATCGCGATCAATTCAAGTAAGGTAGTAAAGCCACTAAGATACAAGGGGTTACTGGGTGTAGAAGAAATGAAAAATAGAAACATTACTAAGGAGCGAGAACAAAAAAAAGAGTAATCAGGATGACAGTAGATAAGGATTGACATTGTATTTCAACTTTTGAATATTAAAGTTGACTGGAAAGCATGGAGCATGGAGACTGGAAGAGAATCTCACAATCGAGAATTGAGAAAGAAGAAACTTTTAGCATAGACCTTACGGTTAGATCAAGCCAACTCAACTGGAAATTGATGATGTAGACCGAACCGCGGAGACTGAATCACAAAATAACCTTATCAAATAACACAAACCACATTACATGACAAATTTCAACCACAACGCCGAGCAAAACGGATACCACATTTAACTCGAAGATCAAATAATTACATAAATACGATGTTGACATTGCCGTCTGTTTCAATCAAAATGTTAGGAAGAAAGCCTCTATCAATATTTGGATGAGTAATAACAACTAGTGGATTTAGAAAACCTGTTTTCTTGAAAAATTGTGTTAATAAAAAGATTTAATTTCAGATGGATTTGACTCTGGCTGTTCGATCAATAAATACCGAATGTTTCCTTGTAAGGAAAAGGCTAATATTAACCTTACCATTACCATGTAGTTTTCTTTAACTATAAATAATTTTACAGCCCCTATCCTTGTAGAGAAATCTTGCTGATTTTAGTCAAGTTGTAATTTGTTGGTTTTCATATTTTACGAAATTAACTTTTTTTTAGTGTTTTTTTTTTAACATTTTTACGTATTTTAGTACAATATGAGAAATTGGAAAGCTGAGTTCGAAATCCAGTCGAGTTTGTTGCATTCACTCACGCACAAATACTCTTGAGAAAGGTATGAATACATCTCTTCTCTTTCCAGCTATGGGTTAAATAGCAGGACACATTGGTTTCTATAGCATTGCTTGGTAACCAGTCCTATGCAGAAAAAAATGGCAACCTAATGCGGGAAAATATTCTGCATAATCAATCATGAATCGAAAGAAACATGATCACCGAAGCATGTATCACCTCTAGCAATTAACTGACTGACCGATGTCCTCGATTATCTGGATATCTTGGAAGAGCGGTCGTGAAAATATGTTCAGGTAATTAAAAATTCAGGATAACTGAATAACTAGATTAACGAAAAAGAAGAAAAGAAATTATATTATCAAATATTTTTTTTCAAATAATTTAAATGTTTTCTCAAAATTTATCTTTGATTAAAAAATTATTTTTGATGAAAAAAAAATATTTTTGATGAAAAAGATTTTTGATGAAAAAAATAATTTTTGATGAAAAAAATAATTTTTGATGAAAAAACAATTATTTTTTTACCAAAAAATGTGTGAAGATAAAATTATTTTTCATAAAAAAAAAATTGTTTTTGATGAAAAAAAGAATTATTGTTGATGAAAAAATTATTTTTGATGAAAACAAAATTGTTTTTGATAAAAAAATATTTTTGATGAAAAAAAAAAAATTTTTGATGAAAAAACAATTATTTTTTACCAAAAAATGTGTGAAGATAAAATTATTTTTCATCAAAAAAAAAGAATTATTGTTGATGAAAAAAAAATTATTTTTGAAGAAAAAATTATTTTTGATGAAAACAAAATTGTTTTTGATAAAAAAAATATTTTTGATGAAAAACAAATTGTTTTTGATGAGAGAAAAAATTGAGGAATTTGCGTCTATGTGCGTGTGACTTCGCGTTTTCCTGCTACGAAATACTAAAGCTGGGTTCAAATAGATTTCTTCGAAAAGGGAACTTCAGTTTGGAACCATCTTAAACATTTGTCAAACATAATCAGTATTTCTGCTGTTGAAATTGAACATTTGGAGGTTGTTTAAATTCAACGTGGGTGCTATCAATTCATTTTCACCATTCAACTGATAACATGACCCATTTTTCGTTTTGTTTATCTTTCGAATTCGAGGCCATTTCAATTCCACGTAAGATCACGAAGTATAATAAATCATGTCAGTCAGGAAATGTTCATTTCACGTCCGGATAATCGAAGTCTAAGAAATCGTGGTACGTATAATCAGAACGTATTATAATAATCAGTACAAATGTAGCCTTCATATTCCACCATATTGTGTTTGTACTTCTTAATACTTAAACACATTTTCACGCTTGTCACCTTCACTCTGTGATCTAGAAAGGCGACATCAATTCTACGACAGACAAGCTATACTTTTTATAGTAACAAGATCTGGTTTTCTGGCTTGGGCTGTGAGAGCTAGTTTAATTTCAAAATTACAAAGAATTTTCTTCTTTATGGGAAAATATAATTCTACAATGCACTTTACTGAAAATATACTTCTACAACGCACCATTTAAATCAAAGAATTTTTCAAATAGGCAATCGCATTTTTAAATAGATAGAAAAGGGTCTATCTGCAAAAATAGTTGAAAAGCACTGTACTAGATGTTTTATTTAACTCATTACAGGTCAAAAGTCAGGTGCCATACATGATACACGCTTGGGTGATCACGTCTCTTTCGATTCATGGCTGATTAGGAAATTTTCCACAGTCTGCTAACGGTGGGTAGACTGGTTGCCAAACAAGGCTCAGTCTATCTTGCTATTCAACCCATAGCTGAGGGAAGAGAAGATTTCATACCTTCCCAAAGGTATTTGCGCGTAATTGAATGTAACGAACGAGACACGAGTCTCGTCACAAGTCTCGTCACGAGTACCGTCACGAGTCTCGTCACAAGTCTCGTCACGAGTCTCGTCACGAGTCTCGTCACAAGTCTCATCACGAGTCTCGTCACGAGTCTTGTCACGAGTCTTATCACAAGTCTCGTCACAAGTCTCGTCATGAGTCTCTCACAAGTCTCGTCACCCATTAGGTTCGTTGCGACACAGCTATTGCAGGCCGTAGCAACAAAGTAACATGACGGAACCTACCCTTGTTCAAGTTGTTTCTACGTCTCCTAGACTGGTTGCCAACCTAGGCGATAGAGTCTACTCGACCCTTACATTTAACTCATAGCTGGAGGGCAAAAAGAGGAATTCATACATTTCACAAGAATATTTGTGCGGTAGTGACCATAACGACTTTTCTGGAATCCGAACACGGTTCGCAGATTTTCCTCACTTTGTCGCTAACCACTGCACCAAGAATAAAAGTTAAAAGACAGAAAACAATGAATAAAGCGACGGAAACACTATGATTAGCAGGAATACAACAAAACTTGTTTTGTATTCTAACGAGTCAATTCGAGAAAGCGCGGCTGTTAATTTCGGCTGACTTTTTCCTTTTATTACTTGAAATGACAGGGGAGTAATTAATGTTTGTCAAATTCTCTTCATCGTCTTGTTGCTACATTATCTATAAGATGAAAACGAGTAGTGGAAAATTAATAATGAAAGTTTTTCATCTCGAAATTCAAACAAGACATTTTAATTGCGCGGGCGTTAATTTGATTGGCTAGAAAATGATCATTAAATTCCAAAGTACTTATTGAACTCTGCTTCCATATCAAGGAGAATAACTGATCCCAACATCTTTTTTCTTAACACAAGACAGGCCTCTAAATAATTTGCATCAACCAACAATACCTGGGTTTTTTTTTTTGCTTTTTTTTTAAGATCTTTAAGAGAAAATATTAAAATATGCAGGTTTCAATAGACTATTTTTGATACGGTATTTGAAAGCTTTCTATAACTTGGATAAAAAATATTCCAACAATTTTGTGTTGAGTCGTACGAGGAAAAACAGTTGACTACCGGAAGCTTGAGGATTACGGCCACATAACGTTAGAACACCGGTTCCCGTACGATCGCCTAAGTTAAGCAACGTCGAGCCGGGTCAGTACTTAGATGTGTGATCACATGTCATACCAGGTGCTGTAAGCTTACATGAACGGGAGATGTAATGGATAACAGTTCGGAATTGTTAACTGAAGCGCCGAGTTTCAAATCCAGTTAGGTTCTTTCTATTCCCTTACGCGCAAATACATTTGGGAAAGGCATGAATCCACCTTTTCTCCCCCCTAGCTATGGATTAATTAATAAAACTTGTATCACTAAACCATTATTATCTACAAAAATAAATTGTGTACAAGGTATTTAGATGTTGGTATTAAATAACCCATAGAGGTGTTAATAAGCCACTAAACAAACAAAAAAGCAACCAATATGAAGCTTGAATTATTCTTATTATTCAATGAATAATTCTGGATTAGCATTCTTTGATCCATACGTTTCCGAGTCTCACCACCTGCTCCGATATACACTGCAACCGACAAACTTTATTTTACTATGTGCCGGCAGGCAAGCAGCTATCAGGATAAATCAGTAGTCCCAGTTAACTTGCAGCCTAGTTTACTGTGTTCGATTATATGCTGGTGCCTTTGAAGGAGGAAAGGTATAAATCCATCTTTTCTCCTCCTAGCTATAATATTTTCCTTCATTAATATATTGCTGGTAATATTTTTTCCCTTCAAAAATGTATTTCTGGTAATATTTTTTTCTTCAAGAATCTATAGCTGGTAATATTTTTCCTCCAAAAATGTATAGCTGGTAATATTTTTTTTTTCAAAAATGTATTACTGTTAATAATTTTGACAGTATTTCTGGTATTAAAACCTATTTTTATACTTTCATAGTGTTTTGACCCCAGCTTGGGGAATTAACTATTTACTCATAGCTGGTACCATTAGATATTCTGTAAAAAATGCTTGCATTAAGGTCTCATTAACTGCTAACCTTATTTTAGAAACCTTTCATGATAATTATTAAAACAAATTTAAAAAAGAAAAACATTAAAAAAAAAAGGGGTTCTAATACCATATCTCCTCAAAACATAAACTGCATCCGCGTTCTGGGTAAGACGATAAACTGTCCAACACCAAGGCCTCTGATCAGGTTTTGAAGAGCGTGCAACCACCTCTTAATTGTTGATGTTCCCATGTCCACCTTGACCTAGGAGAAAGAATGCTATAAATGCAAAAGCCATATAAAAAAAAGGGAATAAAAACCATTATTTTTTCCCCAAGAAGCCATGGCAATTAACATAAAATGAACAAAAAGAAGCTGTGATCATCCATGATTATTAACAGTTAATTAATTATTAACAGTTAATTAATTATTAACAGTTAATTAATTATTAACAGTTAATTAATTATTAACAGTTAATTAATTATTTTAATACAATGCCAGAACTTTTTTTTTTATATGTGTAGTTTTCGCCTATTTGATCCAAGAAATAAAATTTATTTGAATTTTTCTCATATTTTAGCCTGTCTTCCTCAAGCGTATATCACTTATTTCTGAATATTGATGATTCATTTCACATATATATATATATATATATATATATATATATGTGTGTGTGTGTGTGTGTGTGTGTGCGCGCTTGATGGCTGCCACGTCTTTGTTGAGTATGATCATCAAAATATATCATTATAAAACCTAGATGGACGATGAACGGATAAGGACAAAGTTTTAAAATAGAGATTTTCCAAGCGTAGCTCAGATGTGGCACAAGGCCGAAAATATGGGGCACCTAGTGAGGATCGATCTCACTACACAGTCTCAAATGTTCTAGCGAGACAAGCTTACTAACCATTACACCACGTCGAGGTGCCCAAACAATGCTTTTAAAATATATGACACAAAGTTGACAGACGTGAGAAACATACATTTGTTGTCATTAGCTCTATTTTGTAACTATTTGCATGTCTTTGAAGACCTCCAGCTGACTTCCGTCAAAAGTGACATGAATTCTCAGTACCTAACGCCATTTTGTATTTAGTTCATGCTATGGCACGATGACATGGTAGATGACTTAATTTTCCTGCTCTACTCAGACAAATCCACAAGTATCACAAGCGAGGGGATGCGTGTCAACTATATGATCTGCAAGTTCTACATCAAGATCATTTCGTACATTTATTGTCGGCTTTTCTTTCGCAAACATACTAAAAACGTACATACACATACAGAAATTCAAACGTTTTTTTTACAGCGAAGAAATAAAAATGTCGTATTAACAACAAATCCATTAATCCTTTAAAAATATATTCCAAACCCAGAGACGAATATGCAAGATTATAGGTCCTGATCTGGCATCTAGTCTACAATCGCTATCCCACAGACGTGCTGTGGCCTCTCTCTGTCTCTTCTACAAGTATTTTCACGGTAACTATTCCGGCGTGATACATTTGCTGGTTACCGGACTGCATGAATTTAAGCGAGCCTCCAAGCTGACATCTCGGTCCAAGCCTTTCACTGTCAAAATGGTTAAATGTAACCACCTTTTCGAATCAAACAGTTTCTTCTCCCGTTCTTCCCGTCTGTGGAACTCCCTTCCTCTTACTTGCTACCTCGATTACTAATATCTTCAAATATTCAAGTGTAATGTCAATTGACATCTGACACCCTGAGTTTGTTCCCCGTCCTTCTCTGTATTCTTTCCTCAAACATGCCTCTTTACTCTTGTTCTCAATTTTCTGTAACCCTTTGCATGCTAGTGGCACTCCCACCTTGCTTGGGGTGAATTGCTTTAAAAAAATAAGAATGTTAAACAGGATATTGTCACCCGTAATACACGTCTTACGCAGACGGTAAAGGATTCTGCGATAGGCTAGCATCTTTCAGACAATCCTGAAAAATATACGGATTCGATGTTTACTATTTTAGGCAAAGCACGGCCGTCAGAGTTGTTTTGGAGTCAATTTATATCAAATCACACCTACTGTCTGTATGTCGACAGGAGAAATTTGTTTGTTCTTTTTCTTTACTGGGCTTATGACTCCTGATTTTCTTTTTTATACTCACTGCAACGATTTATTCTGCTTCTTTCTGTCAGCCCTTCTTTTCGTTTCTCTCATTTTAATAATAAATTGTTTTTAGTCGTACTTCCTCGTTTCCTCCTGGGCTGTTTGTCACTTTGTGAATTTCGTTAATATTGTATTCAGGCGGCCAACGATTCTTCTGATGAGGTGTTTGTCCAAAACGGTTACCTTTATATTAAACGTAACAAATCCGTTGGTACATAATCCAAGTACATCGTACTAATATAAAATATTTAAACTGGTCCGCAAAAAAGCTCAATGTATTCATTATTACTGATCAAATAATATTTTTTATAATTGTTTATTATATATATATGCATATATATATATATGCATATATATACATATATATATATACACACACACATATATATATGTATATATATATATATATACATATATATATATATATATATATATATATATATATATATATATATATATATATATATATATATATATATATATATATATATCCTTTCTTTCTGCCAATACTTGCTTAGAAGTAAATCGTTGGTAAAACTTTTGACGAGCACAAAGAAATGAACAGTGAAGGAAAGAAAAGAAGAAAAAGAGACATGAGGAGGCAAAACTTTTGGAACAACGATTAAAATAAATATATTGCCAAAATACACAAAAGCTTTCATTTTGGGTGAGTGAGTTATTTTTCTTTTACTTAAATTTGGCTGAGTTATTTTTTCATGTCACGATAAACCTGGATAAAGACATGTCATCATTGGCGATTATGGAAAAGCGACAAATGTATCGGGGATAGTGGACAAATAAATTTGTCGCTGGCATATTTTCCGCAATCGTCAATGATGACATATCTGTGTCCCAGTTTTTCATGACATGAAAAAAATAACTCACCCACCTCCAATCTCTGACCTTACTTTTCTATTTAGCTTAGATCTGACATCTATTGCTTAATAAAGACATACACACAAGTCTATTTTTTTTAATTCTGGCCTTATGCTCACGCCCTTTAACTTTCGGGAAAGAGGTAAGATTTTGTTTTAAAATTATTTAATCACCAGTTACCATCGTTTAAAGGAATACAATCATTGTATTGAAACAAGAAAGCTTTTGTGTAGCGATTTAAAAATGTTTTTATTATAATTTCTTATAATAAAAATATAATAATAATATATCACTCTACTTTGTATTTAGCACTATTTTAAAAGTAAATGCTACGAACGATGGATTTTTTACTCCATTTTGTGCTTTCTCTATATATATATATATATATATATATATATATATATATATATATATTACAAAAAAACATATTTTAAATCAATTAATTTATAATATTAATGCTCTGTAAATTTACACTGAGCACTATTATGTAAAAATAAAAATATCTATGAGAACACCAGATTATATATCTTACTGTTCTTTCTTTTCTTATATATATATATATATATATATATATATATATATATATATATATATATATATATATATATATTAAATTGTTCAATAAATAGTGTAATGTCTGAGATGTTATCCCGAAATTTTGCACGTCGGATCAGTTCTTTTAAATCGAGTATGTGGTGCAGTTCAATTTATATTATAATGAATACTTTCTCTCATTAATATATATATATATATATATATATATGTATATATATATATTACAATGAATCATTCATACCGGTAGATTTGTAAAGTTAATGATATAAAATAGCGAAATCTTTTCACAAACAAAATTTTAAAGTTGCATTTACCTACGAACGACTCAATGAATGTTATGATCCTTGTTTTTAGTAACTACTAGTTGTCTTTTTTTTTATCTGCTAGTACTTTCAACTGTACACGTAGTTATCCTAAGTCATGGAAATTCTTTTGTTTTTAGTAAATTCAGGTAGCATCGGAGACGAAAGTTTAAATGCGAATCGAAAGATGTTTTTTTTTAGAAATGTGTTAGTGTTAACGGATACAAACTTTTGGAGCGTGCAGTCGCAACGCTAAGGTTGGATTTTTTGGAAAATTTAAGTGCGTTTTTTACTAATTTATAATTTTTTTGGTGTGGGAGTTTATCAGTCAATGTGACAAGAACTAAATTGTTCAATAAATATAGTAATGTCTGAACTGTTATTCCGAAAATTATCACGTCGAATCAGTTCTTTTAAATCAAATATGTGGTGCAGTTCAATTTATATTACAATGAATCATTCATACAAAAAGTAGATTCATAAATTTTGTTTGCGAATAGTTTTTCGCCATTTTATATCATTAACTTTACTAATCTACTTTTTTGTATGATTTATTCATTGTAATATAAATTGAACTGCACCACATTTTTTATACATATATATATATATATTATATATATATATATATATATATATATATATATATATATATATATATATATATTATTTTTTTTAAATGTCTCAACAGCGACACATAAAATACTATGTTTCGAAACCGTAGCTCAAATCCTAATATTTAACTTTAAAGTTTAAACTTTAAATTCGGGGCTCGGTTCTATTCTCAAGCTCTACTTTGTATCGAGCACTGTTTTTTTTTTTTGTTTGTTTGTGTGTTTTTGTTTTTTTTAAATCAAAATAATTGCTAAAGAACTCTGGATTATAAATCTGACTTTTCTTTTCTATTGTTTGAATATATATATATATATATATATATCACACATTATGAAATGGACAAATCCGACAATTATTTTTAAGACATTTTTATGTTTATACATTCTTTTTTTTTTTATTATAAATGTTTATAATAACCTATAAACAACATTTACCGGCCGGAACCAAGAAAAGAAATTATTATATAGCCTGACGAACCTATAACCGATTGAGTCATATAGCCTGACGTGCCTGTAAAACCGATTGGTCACAGAGGAGGGTTTCGGTTAGCAAGGTCGATTTTATTATTTTGAATATATATATATATATATATATATATATATATATATATATATATATATATATATATATATATATATATATATATATATATATAAAACGATGTGTGTGCATGTGTGTGTGAAAATGATCTGTTCATAGACCCGAGAGACTAAACTATAAGAGCTTTTTTTCAATTATTATTACTGAGTTTCGGCAGATAATCTCTCTGATTTCCTGTGTGTGTGCCAATAGTAGTAATCTTTAGATTTTCCGGTGTTGCGTTTTTTAGTGTATTTGATTAGCATATTACTTTACTTGTGTAATCGAGCAAAAAAGAAATTTGTGGCGGATGTGAATACTGGAAAGAAGAAAAGAAGTAAAAGCCCAATAATTAATGATTTCCTATTGCTGAGTAATTGGATAATCTAGTGATTTCGATTCTCTTTGCTCTAGGAAATAAACATATGCATCCACGTGTTCACACATTCATAGCTTCAGTTACACATTAAGACAGATAGATAGATAGATAGATAGATAGATAGATAGATAGATAGATAGATAGATAGATAGATAGATAGATAATGAACTGAGATATGGAAAAAATGAACAGTTCGATAAATGATGAACGGAAACATTGGCTTCGACCATGGCCTCCAGACGTCTTCGGAATCTCCTGCAAATCTTTTTGACTGTCTCCTTGTTTAAGTTGATGAATTCTGCCATAATCCTTACCTTCAGTTCATCTTTGGTCTTACAAGGTGTTTTGTTGGTCTTTTGCTCAACTGCACCCCACACATAATACTCAAGGGGGTTGCGGTCTGGGGAGTTAGGTGGCCAGATGTAAGCGGAGATTTGGTCACAGAAATTGTCTAACAGCCATGATTGGTTCTCCTGCTTGTGTGACATGGTGCAGTGTCCTGTTGCTAGACATAGGGTCTTTCCATCAGCAATTCTCTTAACCTAAAGTAGCACTAACTCCTCAGGATACTTGATATACGCCTCTGTGTTCAGTCTGGGGCTCTCACTAACAAATTGGGGGAGGTTTTTTTTTCTTTTCAGAGCGATCAGAGTGAGTTTTCCGAGCTGCCGTACATTCGTAATCACCATTAGACTCATCTAACTCTTTCCGAATCTTCTACACTGTCCTCAGATTGATACCCAAATACTTTGAAATGTTTGTATTGGAGGTTCCGCCGCGAATGCCAAGCAGCACAGCGTACCGTTTCCAAATTTCTGGTGAAGTGAATTGCATCATGTTGCTATTTTTTTCCTAGACGATGCCCAACTGACCCTACTGTTGACAAAACAAAACAAACAATGCGCATGCGCAAAATTAAAAAGATAAAATTTACATATTGCACCATGTAGATAGATAGAGAAACAAGCAAACTGGATGAAAATGAACAGATTGGCATAGATAATGAACAGAAACAACCTGACTGAATAGATAGATAGATATATAGATAGATAGATAGATAGATAGATAGATAGACAGACAGACAGACAGATAGATAGATAGATCACTTCGCTTGGAAAATTATATGACATACTTCTAAATTTCCAAGCGAATATTTTCTAAAATACTGCTTATTGGCATCTACTTCTAAGTGTAAAAATACTTGTAAAATATCCCATGCCCAGCAGCTATAAATATCCGATCACTACATGTCTGGCCGAAAACTGATTAGGTAGCTTGCAGGCTACATTCTTCTGGAGGTTCGTTGGCTCCATACGCAATCCAACGAGCGACCATAATTTCCCGAAGGACACATAAATAATAAAATGAAGAAGACGAGAAGGAAGAAGAAAGAAAGGAAGAAGAAGGAGAAAAAAAAAACCCCAAAAAACAAAGAATGAGTAAAAAAGAATCATGTAAAAAAAATTACTTTTCTCTTCTGAGTTACATAAACGTAAGAAAGACGTATACACGAAATGCCCACATTATTGAATATGACACTGCGAAAGCTGGGTAAAGCATCTTGTGTGACCAGCTCAAAATACAGGCCCCTGCTTCCCGATCATAATCAACGTGTGTTTAAAACAGAAGCTGAGCATATAAGTAATCTATACTTAGAAAGGCAAAACGTCGTAACAATGCACGTGGATAAATTGTATTTAATATTTAAAATTCACTTAAACAGCAAATAAGTATGGTACACTAACTTGGATTAACAATCTGAGATATAGTCAATCTTTGAATCTTGATTAAGTGCCTGGAAAAGGAGGAAGAGTCTGTTTATATATATATATATATATATATATATATATATATATATATATTAACAGACTTTTTCTTCCTTGTCCATGTACTTAATCAAGAGTCAAGGATTGACTATCATATGTATATCTATCTATCTATCTATCTATCTATCTATCTATCTATCTATCTATCTCTCTCTCTCTCTCTCTCTCTCTCTCTATATATATATATATATATATATATATATATATATATATATATATATATAGTATAAAATGACAATTGTAAAAAATCTTAGATTTTGCCGACGCGTTTCGTCATCCGACTTTTTCATATACCAATCTGTCTTGTCCACAGAATTGATCTGGGAATTTAACTATATATATATATATATATATATATATATATATATATATATATATATATATATATATATATATATATATATATATATATGTATAAATCTTTAAATCTTGATTAATTGCCTGGTCAAGGAGAAAGAGTCTGTTTTATATATATATATATATATATATATATATATATATTAACAGACTTTTCTTCTTTTGTCCATGTACTTAATCAAGAGTCAACGATTGACTATCATATGTAAATATCTCTCTCTCTCTCTCTCTATATATATATATATATATATATATATATATGGTATAAAATGATAATTGTAAAAAAAATCTTAGATTTTCCTGACGCATTTCGTCTTCCGACTTTTTTATATACCAATCTGTTTTGTCCACAGAATTGATCTGGGAATTTAACTATATATATATATATATATATATATATATATATATAAATATATATATATATATATATATATATATAAATATATATATATATATATATATATATATATATATATATATATATATATATATATATATATATATAATATTAGTGGTAAATATACATACATATGCAAATATATAAATACCTATACATGTATATTTTTTTTTAAAAAAAATTCCAAGAGGAAGAATCCAGGTAGAACTCAATGTCCAGGACAGAGTAAGGATATAATAAAAAGGCTTTAACACTAATATTCCATGGTCATAATTTATTCCATTGGAATCGTAAATACGATACAATTCATCAGACCTACAAATTCAAAAAGAAAACAGAAAAAACAACTCCGTAAATAAAAACAGAATTTAGAGAGAGTGTAAGTATGAGGAGGAGGGAGATCAAACCTTAACAGAGAGAATTTTAGGAGAGATGGGTGGAAGGGGTTTAAGTAAGTAAGTATATATATTAATTTAAAGAAAATACTGACCACTTTATGGTTCCATTCTTATAATTTATTTCACCAGAGATTTTATTTTATCCTCCTTCCGATTATCCATACGGATTACCAAGATTTTCGTTACTTTATACATATATATATATATATATATATATATATATATATATATATATATATATATATATATATATATATGGATGGACAGATAGATATTTAATGAGTAAATATTTCTAAATTTCCATTATACGGAACGGAATTAGTGTTTATTTAATTATTACTTTTACATTAATGTGTGGCACAAGGACAGAGGGGACGTGAGGAAAAACCTATCAGGCGGCATTGAAGCGAGCTCTTCCGAATGGCTCTTGATTGGGTCCTCATCAAAATACGTAGCAAGTAGTAGATACGATAGGCAACAATAAACTACAGATAAACTCAAAGTTGATCGCCGCAATTAAGTATTGCAATAATACTTAATTATACCTTTTAATTCTTCTGTCGCCACTTAAATTAAAGACAATTTGATATATATAGGTACTTATTTTTCGTACAAACACTTATTTCTTTTTTTATTTCATGGGTGACTTCAGCTGGATTTCGCAATTAATTTCGATTATTCCAAAATTTATTTCCAAATTATAAAAATTGTTATCGTATAAAAAAAATTCGTAGCAAAAAAAAAAAGTGTAAAAAAATCGTCGAAAACAATCCCAGTAATGAAAACTTGAGAATCCAAAATTTTCGGATCCGATTCGGAATGTTTTTAATTTGCCCTCGAAGTCGGTCTAATTCACAAATAGTATATGTTGGGCTACGGCCTCTAGGAGTAAAGTTGAAAACACGTTAATTTTATTTTGAAACACTGATTTTTTTTTTTATTTGAACATGAGCTATGGAAAGATAGAGAGTTGTATCCCTTTAATTGTTTCTATCAGTAGATGCTAAGATGGCGGAATCTGAAAACAATCACTGTAATGAAAAATTGGGAACAGAAAATTTGAGGATCACAAGTATGGATTTATTTAAAAACCATTTATTGTTGCAAAATTTTGGGGTCTGAAGAGATGGTGTCAGATTGCGTGGAATAAATTATTACCGATAGATTTCTGAGAACCCCGTTTTCATTTTGCATATATATATATATATATATATATATATATGGTTGGAGAGATTGTGTGTGTATGTGTGCGTGCGCGCATGCGCGATGGGTAAATTATCGCCATTTTATATTTTTAAATTCGCGCATGCGTGTTGTTATTTTTAATTTTGTCAACTGCACAGTATCGTAGGATTAGTTGAACACCGTCTGGGAGAAAAAAGTTCACTGTGACGTAATTCACTGCAAATTTGGAGATGGCATTTTTTACTGCTTGGAATTGGCGACGGGAGCCCCAATACGAACATTTCATAGGGTTTGTGGCTGAATCTGAGAACAATGCAGAGGATCTGGAAAAAGTTGGATAAGTCTAATGGTGAATACGAAGGTTCGGCTGCTCGGAAATCTCACTCTGATCGTTCTGAAGAAAAAACTCCAAAATTTGTTTGCGAGAGCCTCAGACCCAACAGGGTGGCCTACATTGAGTGCCTTGATGAGGTAGTACTGTCCTAGGTCAAGAGGCTACTGGAAGACCCTATGTTTTACAACAGTACTGCATTCCATGCCACACAAGCAGGAGAAACTAGTTATAGTTATCAGACAATTTCTGAGACTACATCACCACATACATCTGGCGACCCAACTCAACAAACTTCAACCTCCTTGATTATTACGTGTGGGGCGAAGTTAAGCAAAAGACCCAAAAATACTCCTTGTAACACTGATGATCCGAAGACAAGGATTATGGCAGCATTCAACAATTTAAACACCGTCCAGAAGATTTGCAGGAGATTCCGAAGTTGTCTTCAGGTCGTGGTTGAAGCCAATGGTGATTTTACTAAATAAATCTACTCCTTCATATTTCAAGATATTTTTATGTAATTTTGGTAAATATATCTGTATCAGGGCTATTTTCATTTTTGCGTAACTTCTTTTCTTTCTTTTTATGTAGTATTTCCTTTCATGGCGTAGGCGATCATGGCTCTCCACATCTCTCCATTCCTTGCTGCTATCGTCAAATTCCTTACCTCTGCTGCCACCCGTAGACCACGTTCTGTTATCCACCTGCTCAAGCTCGTCAGATTTTTCATGCGTTGTTTTCCCTTGTCCCTCTTTTCGACCTCTGAGTATCAGATTCTTCAGGCCCTCCTTCCTCATTATGTGCCCCAGAAACTTCAGCTGCCTCTTTCTGATGTTTGATGTTAAGTATAAGCCTTCTCCCTGTTTGCAACCTCATCGTTGCTCACACGCTCGGCCCATGATATCCTTAGCATCCTTCTGTCGAACCATATCTCTTTCGCCTTGAGTCTCTTCTTCATCTTTGAGGAAATTGTCCAACATTCGCTGTCATAAAGAAGAACAGATGTCATGTACCAGCTCAGTATTCTTTTCTTTGTTACCAAAGAAATCCTCCTGTCTCGCAATACTCTGAACAGCTTTTGGAATGTGTCCTTGGCCATCATAATCACGTCTACAGATCTCAGTGTCGCACTTACGGTCTTCTGTCAAGACGCTTCCCATATATTTAAAATTCTGCATTTGCTTGATTGTGTTTTGTGTATGTTTACCATTAGTTTTCGTTAATTCCGGCGTTTTCACGCTGGCTGGAATCAATTCAAAGTCAATCAAGGGGACGTCATTTAAATGTTCATTTTTTTTCATTTCATTTTTTAAAGTTTTTCCTACACACTTCATTATACTATCCACCATGGAGAAAGATACCTTATTTAATATTAGCTGCTTCTCTTTTATTAAACAGCCTCCAGATTTTTTTTAATTTAACATTAAAACTGTACAATGCAAAGAAATACACAAAGGGGAGTTAAGGGAAAATGGATTCATGCCTTTTCTTTGTGAATTATCTCTATTTACTCAGATGGATTGAATACTAATGAATTTCTCCGATGCCATTTTGCACAGTGTAACATCTCATCTCCACTTAAACGTGTCTTCTGTTCTTTGAAAGCAATTCTTCACCATGGAACTTATTTGGTTTCTCTTTGTTTGCTTAAATATGCTTCGGGGTTAAAAGGAGGGCAACACTGATTGCGAATAGATTATCCTTAATATTTGACTTCACAGAAATCGAAGAAGATTTTTTTAGGGGGAGGGGATAGTGGGGTCTTTTATCTTTTATCTTGTCACATTGACTTAAAGAGCGAAGAAAGAAAGAAAGAAAAAAGAAAGAAAGAAAGAAAGAAAGAAAGAAAGAATTAAGTATAATAAGAATGAAAAAAGGAAAGAAAAATATACGAACGAAAGAAAAGAAGAAAAAGAAAATAATAGAAAATGAATTAATGAAAGACATAAAGAGGCACAGGAAAAAAAGAAAGAAAATGATAGACATGAAAGAAAAGTAAAATAAAAATAAAATAAAGATAAAGAAAAAAAAGAAAGAAATATGAATTGCAGAAAGATAAAATGATAGTTGTATATGACAGAAAAAAGAAAGAAAGGAAGATAAAAAGAAAGAAAAAGAAAGAAAGAAAGAAAAAGAAAGAAAGAAAGAAAGAAAGAAAGATAGATAGATAGATAGATAGATAGATAGATAAGATAGATAGATAGATAGATAGATAGATAGATAGATAGATAGATAAAGGAAAAAGAAAGATAAAAATGATTAAAATGAAAGAAAGGAAGAAAGAAAGCTTTGTAGACGAAAGGAGTAAAGTCAAATGAAAGAAAATAAGACAATAAAAAAAACTTAAGAAAGAAGTGGGTACAAATGAGAGAAAGAAAGCAAATTGAAAAGGAAAACTCCTTTTTCATCTCTGAAATTCCCCGGATGTCCTTGCCGCTCTTTTTCCCAATCTTTCCCGCATTCCTCATTGATCTTGGCATTCTTAGCCTCAGCAACAACTTCCGCTGAATAACTTCACCGCTTTCCCAGGCAGTGAGGGTCTCCACCTTTGTTTACCAGGACGGAGATGTTTCTCCTCCTCTTGACCCTCCTTTGTTCCTCTGTTTTTCCCTTTTCTCCCACGACCCGTTGATAACCAACCAGCAACGAACCATCGTTCTCACTTGTATCCATATATCTTAGGATTTGGCTCCAGTCGCTAAACTTTTTGTTTGCTTCCAACGGTTTACTTTGGTTACAAGGTTCAAAGTAACTTTTGACACTCGAATTCTTCGGCCAAAATAAAAACAAAACGCACACTATGACGATATACTTAATTTGTCAAGTCAACATTATTTAACGCTTTGAGAAAAAAAGAGCTTAAGGTTGGATTCGAACTTTAATCTCGTTTTTTGAATTGAAGGTTAAATGATTGCCGTGGCATTTCCCAGGCTCAGAAATCCCCAGAAATATGAAGGAGAAACGATGAAAGTTTTTATTACAGTAATTAAACGTCCAATCAAGTAGGAATCGCTTACAAACAAATTCAACATTTTAAACAGTTTTCACTCAGGCTTACCAGAGGTAAAATTATTATTATTATTATTATTATTATTATTATTATTATTATTATTATTATTATTATTATTTCCTTTGATTTCTGGTGTGTACACATTTCTTTCCGGCTCCCGGCCAGAGACTTAAGGTCAGAAATAGCATGACATTTTCCACTAACCATTTTAAAAAAAAAACATAATTTACATAAATAGATCCTTCATAAGATATGGGCTTTACACGAGAGGACATTTTGTTTTGTATTTCTTTAAGGTATGGGTTTCCAGGAATCCCTTCAATAACTCTATTGGAATCTTTTTTCAATCCGAGGGCTCCAACTATAACAGGGATTGTTGATGTTCCCATGTGCCACATTTTTTAGATTTCGGTTTCAAGGTTCTTCTATTTTGATAGCTTTTTGAAGATCTTCAAAGAGACATTGAAGTCTGCAGGGACTGTTATATCAATAAGGAGGCAAGTCTTTTGTTTGCGGTCTCTAATAACGATGTATAGGCGATTAGCTTTGATTGTTCTGTGTGTATTGTGTAGTCCCATAAAATTGTTACAGCTCCTATCTCCGTAACCGGGTCTGGGTGATGTTCCTAGCTCATTATTATTATTATTATTCGTACCGTGTCCGTATGACTCTCAAAAACAATTTCCTATCATCTTTGTAAAATTCCTCACATTCCCCTTTTTATCAAGTTTATCATGTAGGTGACCCGCTGACTCTTCCTGTCCTACGGGTGTCAAAATATCTAGGCCTCTTCTGATTATACCCAATGATAATTACGAGTAATTATTCCAGTTTCGAGTCACGCTGTTTGAACTTAAAACAAATCGATATGTGTTACTCTAAAACGAAATCAATCAAAATAAACCATAATTAACAAAGTTGGAGGCTTCTCCATGACGAACCACAAACCCCAATGTCGATAATTTTGAAATTCTGTCGTCCAAAGAAAATAATATTACGTTGTACGTAAAATAAAATCCGCTTTTAGAATCAACCTTTATTCTTGAATTAATATATTTAAATACTGTTTAAATCGTTCAAAATAAGAGCCCTGAACATGAATATATTTCTGCCATTAAGTTAAAAGCTTATTTCTTCCATAATATTCTGTTGGTGCTATTTTGTTTTGGAATGTGTTTAGGTCCTTCGTTAGAATCATGCCGTGAGCCGGTCGTTCACGATTATCACAAAGGACCCATTTCACATCAAATGTCACTATTTGATCAAGAAATGAAGCATTCGAATTTCGCAGACGCAGCAAAGAAACACACTTCAAGACGTCGAACTCTTTGACTGTCACTCAGTTCATGTGGAACCCGTTTATCATGATTCGGCATCTTACCATTTTTCTTGAGATGGTCCGATATTGATGGAATGCTGTCACTCATTATCTGAGAAATATCTCTGACACTTTTATGTGTTATTTTTTCGACTACTATTTTCAGATGTTGATTGTCAATTGCAGATGGATGTCCTCTACCACCTTGTCCTTCAAGACACTTATTCCCACTGCAGAACTTCCGAAAGTAACTCCCTACTCTCCGATTGCAAATGGATTCTTCACATCATCTTCTGTCAAAGTTGTCAGTAGTTTGAGAAGCATTAGCACAAAGCCTGGACTCCTACAAGAAAAATAAACGCATCTCTTCTTTTTTTTTGCCCGTCCAAAATAAAGAGTATATAAAGTTTTAAGTTAAATTCTGAGAGATTCATATAAAGTTAACGAAGAGAATACTTTAATCATGAGGAACGCGCAATATATATTTCTGCTACTATTATAGTAATATATTTGAACACTGTTAAAAGGTTTATTCTAAAATCGGACATTATTTTCCGAAAAACCTGATACAATTAAGTTACCTTTTCAAATCACTCTGTCTAGTTCGGTTATCACCATTTTTTTTTTTAGTATTATTTTTTTTTATTGTATTGATGCGGCATTCACCCTGGGCAGATTGAGCCGGCTTCTTCCTGTTATGAGAAGAAGATTCTTGGGATAAATTACAGAAGTAGGGTACCCAGGCCTAATCGGATAACGTTCTTGCTTGCCGCGGGGTTCCCACAGACGCAGAGACAGGAACGACCAGAAGCCGCCGGTTACCGATGCAGACGCACCTTGGATTTTCACCAGAGCCCTTGTTAGCCGGCGTGTGTGTCAGACCTGTCCGCCTTGGGTGCTTACGGTCAAATCACGCTGAAAACACCGGTTCTCGGTCGATCACCGAAGTTAAGCATCGTAGAGCCAGGTCAGTACTTAGATGGGGGACCGCTTGGGAACACCTGGTAATGTAAGCCCCCAAAGTCCAACCCTTACCTCACAGTCGGTGGGGGGGGTGTAAACGGTAGTGTCAGAGCTATGCCGTCCGGAACTTCGTTCCTGGTATTTTTTTGAGTGATTAGTATTGTTAAAAATTTAATGCAACAGATGTTATAATGATATTACTGTACTCCCATGTGATGTTTTCACGAACAGAAGATAAGAATGAAATCATAAACAATATTGTACAATTAACAAAACATTTTATTGGCTTATCAAACTAAACATAAAGAATGTAAAAAGAGATAAATGGAAGTATATATATATATATATATATATATATATATATAGCATAATGAGAACCACGTATACTTTCTTAATATGTATATATAGAAAAAGTGCAAATTAAAAAAATAATAATGTTCTTCAATGAAAGTATATATTTATTTGTACGTATATATATTTGATATTTCGGATTGGCCTCAATCTTTCTTCAGAAATATCTGTTTGTTTACAAGTAGCGTCCGTCGCGAGATGCGGACGTCACGTGATATGGAACGAATATTCCTAACGTAAATCTAACTGTAATAATATCTTAGATGTTGTTTAAAAATTAAATAAAATAAGAAATAAATTTTTTTTTTAACTATATCTAAAAAATGTTTAACTATTGAAATATTTATAAAGATTTTAAAATACCCAAATCTTTATTTAACCCTAGTTTATATGTATTTAATTTTAAAATCCAGTATTTTTCTTTTTTTTTTTCTGCGTGTATGTGGAACTGAAATCAGAATCTATCAATAAACATTTACAGTTTTCTAATATATTTATCGAGTGCTGTAAATTCTTATTGAAGACGTTCACATTTGCGACGAATTTCTTTTTGGTATGGTAGACTTATCTGCTTGGAGCATTTGTATGATGTGCTGTTTACAATTCGGCAAGATCTTCCCGTGGACGGGAAACAAGACACGTTTTGTTCTTGCACTCTTCTATGGATAAAAAGAGAAATAAATGGGAGTTTACACTATTTACATTATTCGGACGATTGTACACATCTTTGTCGCCATATTTATTACAACGTTACAAAGCGATAATAACAACAAAAATTGAAACATGAGCTCCGGTAAAAAAAAAAATGAAATGATAACAGCAAAAATTGAAATATGAGCGCTGGTAAAAATGGTTGCTGAAGACATTCGGTTTATGATACCCAGAAATTCATACACAAATCTCCTCAAAAACACATGGCACAGTGGGTAAAGGACTTGGTTAGATCCAGTGACAGGACCCAAAGAGTGTTAGTTCAATACCCAGTTAAGGCAGTGGAGAACTTGGAGAGGGGAATTAACAGGAGATAACTGATAACTGACATCCATTAAACTAAAGCGTGTGACTCATTTCGATGACTTGAAATGGCGGTTCCATTGAAAAATAATGCATGTATGTAACTCAAGCTGTTGCTAAATAAACTGTCGGGTATCTGCATATAAAACTTTTGTTTATATTGCCTATTTCGTTTTCTTTATGTCAAGTGTCAGATTTTGCTGCAACACCCTGTATATAGCAGTGAATGAAGAAGAGACTTGAGCCACGAGAAATTAGGTTCTACAGAAGGATACTGAGAATTTCTTTGTACTGAACATGTAAGAAGAATAAAAGCAAGAGTGACGGATGAAAGCAGCACATAACCTAACCGACGAGCTTGTCTAATATTTTGGAAGAACAGGGACTAAGAGGATAGCAAATAGGCAAACATTAATCAGAGCGACAAAATACAAGACGTTGTGGAGAGGCATGATCATCAATGCCGCTAGGGAACACGGCATATAGAATATTAACAGTTATTAAATATGTAAATATTTGTAAAAATATTACAATCCGTTAACGCGAAATAGTAATCAAATAGGCGAGCAATCTTTCCATGAAAAATATTTCTCAGTATATTACATGTTTTCTTTCTGTTGTTACAGTGTAAACATGACCGCTCCTCTAGCAGTGTGTACCAGGGAGGAACAAAGAGCAGTGATCCGAATCTGCAGAGAACATGCTACCTTATCGATAATAACTCGTCATTACCATCACTCGAGATTGCTGATTCTTCTCGTCAGTAGCGGAGGTTTACGGACGTTCTGCTCATTCTTCGTGCGTTACGCCTT